GGAGGCCCCCGCACTGCGTTCTTGGGCATCTGGGTGAGGATGCAATGGGACTTGGGGAGGAGGGCTGTTGGTTACACAGGGGCTGTAGCAGCAGTCTCTGCTCCTGCTGCCTTTCCTGCAGCTCAACCAGCAGCCGGAGCATTGACTCTTGTCTTCTGTCAGCAAGCTGACGCCACCTATCCTCTTCAGCCCGCCACTTGCTCTCTTCAGCCCGCGATTCAGCCTGCCACCTCTCCTCTCGTTCATATTGTGCTTTTTTGCACTCTGACATTGACTGCCTCCGCGCATTCTGCTGTGCTCTGTCAGTGTGGGAGGACATCTGGAGCTCCGAGAATATATCATCCCGAGTCCACCGTTTTCTCCTTCTAATCTTCACTAGCCTCTGTGAAGGAGAAATATTTGCAGCTGGTGGAGGAGAAGGGAGAGGTGGTTAAAAAAGACACATTTTAGAGAACAATGGGTACACTCTTTCACGTTAAATTTTGCTGTTCACATTACACAGCACATGTGCTTTCGTTACAAGGTCGCATTTTTCCTCTTATATTGAGGGCCAGCCGGTTTGGTGTGAGAGATCACTCACACAGTGCCAGGCAACAGATTTTGGCTTGCAGGCAGCCATGGTAAGCCACAGTCTTTTGGGTTTTTTAACCTTCTTAACATGTGGGAATGGTTTCAAACAGTAGTGCCCTCATTTCCCATACCAAGCTCCCATTGGATTGGCCATTTAAAATGGGTTTGCAATGTAAAAGGAAGGGCTGCGGTTTCCGGGTTAACATGCAGCACAAACCCAACTCCCCCCCCCACCCAATTCTCTGGGATGATCACTTCACCCCTCCCCCCTACCGCGTGGCTGACAGCGGGGAACATTTCTGTTTAGCCGAGCAGGAACGGGCGCCTCTGAATGTCCCCTTAATAAAATCACCCCATTTCAACCAGGTGACCGTGAATGATATCACTCTCCTGAGGATAACAAAGGGAGATAAGGAATGGATGTTGTCTGCATGCCAGCAAACACCGGGACCATACGCTGCCATGCTTTGTTATGCAATGATTCCAGACTACGTGCTACTGGCCTGGCGTGGTAAAGTGTTCTACCATGGTGGATGGGATAAGGCAGCCCTCCCCAGAAACCTTTTGCAAAGGCTTTGGGAGTACATGAAGGAGAGCTTTCTGGAGATGTCCCTGGAGGATTTCCGTTCCATCCCCATACACGTTAACAGACTTTTCCAGTAGCTGTACTGGCCGCGATTGCCAGGGCAAATTAATCATTAATCATTAAACACGCTTGCTTTTAAACCATGTGTAATATTTACAAAGGTACACTCACCAGAGGTCCCTTGTGTGCCCTCAGGGTCTGGGAGCACGCCTTGGGTGAGTTCGGGGGTTACTGGTTCCAGGTCCAGGGTGATAAACATATCCTGGCTGTTGGGGAAACCGGTTTCTCCGCTTCCTTGCTGTGAGCTATCTTCATTGTCTTCATCATCATCTTCCTCGTACCCCGAACCCGCTTCCCTGTTGCGTGATTCTCCATTGATGGAGTCAAAGCACACGGTTGGGGTAGTGGTGGCTGCACCCCCTAGCATGGCATGCAGCTCCACGTAGAAGCGGCATGTTTGCGGCTCTGCCCTGGACCTTCCGTTTGCCTCTCTGGCTTTGTGGTAGGCTTGCCTTAGCTCCTTAATTTTCACTTGGCACTGCTGTGCGTCCCTGTTATGGCCTCTGTCCTTCATGGCCTTTGAGACTTTTTCTAATATTTTGCCATTTCGTTTACTGCTACGGAGTTCAGCTAGCACTGATTCATCTCCCCATATGGCGAGCAGATCCCGTACCTCCCGTTCTGTCCATGCTGGAGCTCTTTTGCGATCCTGGGACTCCATCATGGTTACCTGTGCTGATGAGCTCTGCGTGGTCACCTGTGTTCTGCATGCTGGGCAAACAGGAAATGAAATTCAAAAGTTCATGGGGCTTTTCCTGTCTACCTGGTCAGTGCATCTGAGTTGAGAGTGCTGTCCAGAGTGGTCACAATGAAGCACTGTGGGATAACTCCCGGAGGCCAATAACGTCGAATTCTGTCCACACTACCCCAAATCCGACCCGCAAAGGCCGATTTTAGCGCTAATCCCCTCGTCGGAGGTGGAGTAAAGAAACCGGTTTAAAGGGCCCTTTAAGTCGAAAAAAGGGCTTCGTCGTGTGGACGTGTCCAGGCTTAATTCGATTTAACGCTGCTAAATTCGACCTAAACTCGTAGTGTAGACCAGGCCTTAGTTAGCCAGGGATACATTTTATTTGTACAATTATAAAAAGGAATTTGGAAATATTCAGCAGCTTTTCTGAGGAATATTTGACAAGCCCAGGGCTGCATAAAAAGAACACAGCTTATGCCATTCATATCACTGTGGGTTGAGGGTTTGTATAATAAGGAAACAGATGCATGCAAAAAATAAGCAAATTTTGGCATAGAGAAATGGGATAGCTGTTTTTTAAAATAATCAGCCAGATGTTCACAGAAGGTCTCCGCTTAGGGACTTATTTGGTAAACTAGTGAGAGTGGTGGCCATTGATACTATGTATGGTACCACAGTGCAGACAATTCATAGTTTTCCTTACGACAGTCCATGTTGTTTGAATGAGAAGCTGCACTGGAATTGATTTGCTGCTGCACGGTGGGAAGGATGGTTTAGTAGAGCACTGGACTGGGACTGAGGAGTCCTAGATTCAGTTTCTGGCTTAGCCACAGACTTGCCATGTGACCTTGGGCAGATCACTTAATCTATTTTTTGCCTCAGTTCTGCATTTGTAAAATGGGGATAATACTTTTTACCTGACAGGGATGGTGTGAGACTAAAATTCAGGAAGGGGAGTGAGGCGCTCAGTAACTATGGAACTGAGGGCAACATAAGTACTTAAGAATTGACTGCCCACAGCTTTATGGACTGCATCAGTGATGCTGACTACCTTATTTTTCTGCATCTCAAGTTGTGAACTTAAACCCTCCCATGATTTAAAATGTAGTATAAACCTTGCTCAGCAGCTCTGGAAATCAGTTCCTGTACTGTACTGTACTGTACAACATTCTGCATTACATACTGTATTTCTCTAAAAAGAGGCGTTCCCTTGCTTAAGATGCATCATGGCAGATGTTGTGATTTCTGTGATAAATATGGATTCTGTATGGATTGCAATTGCAAATATTTTTATATGAGTACTAGTTATGGAGAATCCTGCATGTGTACGCCAGCAGTTAGGCACTTCACATTTTTATATTCTTTAATACCTAGTAGTTTATTAATGCGTCTCTTACACTTTTACATAGTAACTTTTATCCCTATGTTTGTGGTTTATAACAGGTCCTATGTGTATCTGCTACAGTTTTACATGCATACAGTAGGCATTGCCATGCATCTTTTAAATATTATGCACAATACAGCAATTGCCACTTTGTCTCAATCCATTTGCCCACTCAGGCTTCTACTTTACCCAGTGCAAATAGTCTTAGGAAATTATAATCTGATTCTAATAATATTTCAGGTTACAGGGGAGAAAAATTAAACTATTTAATAGATTTTAAAACCAGATGGGACCATCATGTAATTCTAGTTTGACCTGTTGCATGATGCAGGACATAGAATTTCACCAAATGATTCCCGCATCAAGTACATAACTGCTGTGAAAATATTGCATCTTGCAAATTCTAGTCTGAATTTGTCTAGCTTCACCTTCCAGCTATTGGATCGTGTTATGCCTTTGTCTGCTAAATTAAAGAATTTCTACTTCAGAAATATTGTCCCGATGTAGATACTTACAGACTATGATCGAGTCACCTCTTAACCCTCTCTTGAATAAACAAAATAGATTGATCGTTAGAGCCCTGTGCGGGTACAAAATTTGAGCCGCGATCTGCAAACATGATATAAAGCAGATATCTGCAGATTTGCAGGGCTCTAGATATAAAATTTGTATCTGCATCCATCAGCAATCTGCAAACATGGTCCGCGGATATCCCCATCCACAAAGTGGATAGCTGCAGATTTGCAGGGCTCTATCGATCGTTAGTCTCTCACTGTAAATGCAGGTTTTCTAGACCTAAAATCCTTCTTGTAGGTTTTTTCTGAACCTTTTTCAATTTGTCAACATCCTTTTTAAAGAGTGGACACCAGAAGTGGACACAATATTTCAGGAATGGTCTCACAAATACTGTATGTGCAATGGTAATACCATCTCTTTACTTCTAATCAGTACCCACTCCTTTTTTAAAAATTTCCTCAACAAAATTCATGTAAGACTGCAAGATTTAAAAATGGAGGTGCCAACAAACTTTGCAAAGTGCTTAGGTGGACCTGCTGCTGTTTGAATGAAATACAGCTCTTAAAGTGTATAATATTATACATGCAGTATTCATCTCTTTCAGCAGCACTGCAAACTTGTGAAGTCTTAAGTACTAGTGCAGGGTTCGGCAACCTTTCAGAACTGATGTGCTGAGTCTTCATTTATTCACTCTAATTTAAGGTTTCGCGTGCCAGTAATACATTTAAATGTTTTTAGAAGGTCTCTTTCTATAAGTCTATAATATATAACTAAACTATTGTTGTATGTAAAGTAAATAAGGTTTTTAAAATGTTTAAGAAGCTTCATTTAAAATTAAATTAAAATGCAGAGCCCCCCCGGACCGGTGGCCAGGACCCGGGAAAATCAGCTTGCGTGCTGCCTTGGGCACACATGCCATAGGTTGCCTACCCCTGTACTAGTGGATAAAAGTGGCTGATGTTTAATGACAAAAGCATGTTGAACTTGCACTATCTGATGCCTGCTCAGTAATTTTTAAGGGTTTGCATATAATGGGCCTAAGATCCGAGGTATCTGTGTTCTAAGTTCTGCATAACAAAATACGGACAAGTTGAGTTTTTGCAAACCCTAAATAAACCCATTTCTAATTAAAGGCTAATAAATTGCTTTATCAATAAAGCTCTTTCATATTTTTATTTTTCTGTATGTGTTTAAAGGGTGCAAACAGCTATGGGCAGCTCGGCCTTGGTCATAAAGAGGATGTGCTGTTGCCTCAGTCTCTGAAAGATTTTTCCTGCAAACATCAAAACATTAAGAGCATTGCTGGAGGAGGAGGACACTCTGCAGTTATTACTGGTAACAGACATTCACATGACGTGCAATGCAAGGACTGGCATGTTTCTGAATGAGAATCTTCTTGCTGGGCATCGCTCGCAGGGCCGGCTCCAGGCACCAGGCAACCAAGCTGGTGCTTGGGGCGGCACCTGGAGGGGGGCGGCGCGGCGCTCCGGCTGCCGGGGAGAGCGGGGCCACAGCCGGGCTCGCCGCCCTCCCCCTGGCGCTCTGGCCGCCCTCCCCCCCCCCGCGCCCTCCCCCCGGCCGCCCTGCCCCCAGCGCTCTGGCCGCCGGGGGGAGAGCTGAGCCCCAGCCGGGGCTCGCCGCCCTCTCGCCGCCCTGCCCCCAGCGCTCTGGCCGCCGCGGGGGAGGGGGGAGAGCCGAGCCCCCGCCGGGGCTCGCCGCCCTCCTCCCAGGGCTCCGGCCGCCCCGCCCCCGCTCCGGCTGGAGGCTTTTTTGCCTGGGGCGGCAAAAAAGCCAGAGCCGGCCCTGATCGCTCGGTGCTGTGCTGCCACCTATGTGTGGATTGCAGTTTCTAGCAAGTGCCAATTCTAATTGCAAAGCGGAAAAGTTATTTGCTGCCAATGAGTTGAATTGTTTTGGAGAGGAGTTATGTTATTTCAGTTGCCTCTAATGGTCATTTTATGATTATGTGATAATTATTTCTTAGCCTGTTCTACCTGCTTATTATGCAAGAGGGTTCATTACTTTTGGGGGGAAGAGAGGATATTTCACTTTGAAAAGGTAGGTTATTCCTTACCTTGAGTGGTGTCCAAACCCCTGATTGGAAAGTTCTACCATAAATAATGGCTACTTAGGAAGTAGGAAGGATATGAAGGAGAAAGTGAATAGGATGAAAGACTTCACTCTGAAACACTGAGAGGGAGCAGTGTTAATGTTAAAATCATCTCCCTTGGCAGTCACATTCTCCGTGGCTGTGTCTACACAAGAAAGAAAAGTGTATTTTTAATTTGTTAAAGATATATACTTTTATCTTGAGAAGATAAGGCCTATGCACACAGTGCTAATTTATCGCAGGATCACAATGTGTGTATGATTCTGTTTGCCTGTGTTATGACTGTGACAGTGGTTTTATTTTGCAGGTGCAGGAGAACTCTTTGTATGTGGCCAAAACAAAGAAGGGCAATTGGGACTCAATCACACTGAGGATGTCCTGTGTTTTACTTCCTGCACTGCACTGTCTAGTGTTTGTGTGATACAAGTGGCCTGTGGTTGGGATTTTACAATCATACTTACTGGTAAGTCCATCTCACTAATAATAATACCTAGCTCTTATATAGTGCTTTCATCAGCATATCTGAAAGTGCTTTACAAATGAGATCAGTATCATTATCTCCATTTTACAGATGGGGAAACTGAGACTCAGAGCAGTGAAACGACTTGCCCAAGGTCACCCAGCAGGCCAGTGGCAGAGCCAGAAATTGAATTCAGGTCTCCCAATCCAGTGCTCTGTCCACTAGGCCACACTGTCTCCCACTAGGGCCTGGAGAAATATTATGAAATACAGTAAAAGCACAGAGCTCTGTCGTACCAAGGTCTGTACAAAGCCTGAGTGCTCAGAGGTTTTATGCTCTTTGCTTTGCAAGTGGAATTGCTGTATGTTCCGCACACTCCCTCTTCAGTTATCTTTAGACCTTTACTGAATATGGTTTATAAGAACACAAGCCCTTCAGCTTTTTGAAAAGGGACAGTTCAGTTCTTTATATGCTGTGCTGTGGTATCTTGTATATAGTTCTTTTCATGATGTGTTATGGTATCTTGCTTATAACCATAAATGTACCCTAAGGTATAATGTTATGAGTTGCACTGCTCCAACAAGGCTGTATTATGTTGCAGGAAATGGCCAAGTTTTATCCTGTGGATCTAACTCTTTTGGACAACTAGGAGTCCCTCAAACTTCAGGAGGATGTTTGATCCCACAAAAGATTGAGGTAAAGACTCAAGAAAGTTGTTCTCTACAGATCTGGTCCTGTTTTCAGCGCCCCATACAAAACTCAGTAAAATCAGTGGAAAGTCTCCTATGGATTTCAGTGAGTTTTGGATCAAGCCCTTGGACTCATTGAAGACAACAGAATTACTCGTGTGAATGATAAATATCCAGGATTAGGCATTTTAAGAGAGTGAACACTGTTGTAGACATTAGAAAGTCAGCAGTTCAGGAAGTGTGTGTGTGTGTGTGTTTTAAATGAAGAAGGTGCCAACTTTCCTAGAGAAGAATGGTACATTTTGGAAAAGGACATAAAATTTCATCCACACACATTTTAATAGCCACAGTCAACCAAACAATAGGCCAAATCCTCAGATGGTGTAAACTGATTGAAGTCAAAGGAGCAATGTTGATTTTCACCATCTGAGGCTCTGACTCAGGGCGTATAAGGTGTTAGAAATGTTTCAGTACATACTTGAGGAAAGAAGGAAAGGATTTCCACTGATCTTAAATTTTATTTAGTTTCTTAGGGCTTTATGTTGAAAAATTCAAAGGATCGAAGAAGAACTTGTTAAAAAACACAGCTGATTTCAATATAATCAGCTGTGTTCTGGGACGTCTACTGTAGGAAAGTTTTTGTTCAACTGAGTTCCTTCTGCTGGCACATGCTATATAAATGCCAATTCTTTGGTTTTGTGCTTCTGCATTTATAACTTAGCAGTGCAACATAATATGCAGAAAGATCTTTTAGCAAAGGTTGCAGAATCCATTCCTAACATTTTATTTTTTTATAAGAAAAATTAGTGTGAGAAATCAGCACTTTTGATCATCCCTACAATAAGAAACTAGTGTGTGTGCAGGGAAATTAAAATTTTATGGATTTTAGATGCATTTTCTTTGAAATGATAAACGGCAGCTAAAAAAAGAAAGGAAGTGAAAAATACATTAGTATTGTCCTCATTTAACCTCCAAATGTTTATCAAACCATATCAATTAAAAAAAATATGTTTGGAGACTAGGGAATCCCATTCCTTATTGGTCTGTCTCTTGCACTCATAAACGCTGAGGGGGCAGACTCTTAAACCCCAGCCTGTGTTGAAGAATACCTTGCTCCACAGATAGTCATCATTGCAGTCAATGGGAGTACTTATGGGGTAAGGCACTACTCAGCTTGAATAAGGGTATCAGAATCTATCTCTGAAGTAATTGCTTTAAAAATCTTATAAGAAATAGCTACTGAGATTTATGTATCCTCAGAGGAGCTTTACCACTGTTGGCTATGAACCCAGCAGTGTGAATGAATTCCTCATGGCGGCACTATTCTCTCCTTCTAATTAATCCCTATTTACACTTGGGTTTCTATTTTTAGAACATTAATGAAACTCTTTCCTCTCCAAATAAATTCCCATTTCTGTTCCATTGCAGAGAACTCCCGTTCTGTAAAGCTTCAGAAACGGCGAAGTCCTTTCTGGTTCTTTGGTTAGGATTACCAGTCTCATTGCCAATGCCAAAGCCTGTCTGTTGCTTTTTTTAAATTCAGGGACAGCATGGTTATAGAAACGAGAGAAAGACCTGTTAAGTTATCTAGTCCTCTTGGGCACAGGAACTGTGTCATGCCTTGTGTTTGTACAGCACCTACCATCCTTGGAAGCTGCTGCATTACTACTGATAATTATAGTCTACCACCCTGACAATGCAGGCTCATTCTGCATCTACAGTATTTTCTAGTGGGGTTTTACACAGCTGGTATATATCTGTCAATTCCTAATTTAATAAACCACTTGAGCAGTGTTTTGTAAGCACTACTTGTGTTACATTAAATGCTCATGCTTGCTGCCATTTCTTCTATATCAATATTACACCCACAAAACTATGTTAAAAGAATGTTAAGTTTGCAAAATCAAGCCCTCAAGTTAGGAAATGCTAGAATTAAGGCATCCCATGCAACCTTAATTTGGTCCTTCTGTGCATAAGTGTTATAATACAGTTTAATTCAATGTTCATACCTAAAGACAGGGTCTTATAACTGAAGTGTTACACACCATTAACTATAAGTGTGCTGCCAGCTCTGTCTAAATTATTAAATTGCCCATCATCATAGTATGTTGGAACCAGTGAATTGTTTTGCACTGTGGACTAATGTGGCCGCTTGTTACTGATATTTGTTACTGAATATCCAGTATGATAAAAGGGGGACCGTAAAATTGTGTATGTTTGCATCTTAGTTACAAATTGCTGAGATTTCTTCCTTCATGTGAGTATTTTGAGCTCAACTGTTGATCTGCTGCTGTACTATGGCACTTCTGGAAGCTTTGCTTGGTTTTCTTAAGAAATGCCTAAGACTATATTGAAATGAGACTGAAATACATTCTAAAATAAATATCTTTGTGCTGAACTCTGTGACATATAGTCGGTAAATACGATACCATTTTCTTGCATTTGATAAAACAGGTTTCCCTCTGAGAGGTGTAAAATGCAAATTGCAAATATGTTTTTTTCTTATGTTTGAATAGTCCCTCACAGAGAAGGTGGTGAATGTTGCTGCAGGACTCAGACATGCTCTTGCTGCTACAGGTGAATATGCCATCATAAATTTAACTTTTCAGACAGAAATTAATAGTACTTTTATTATGTGAGATGTCTAATAGCTTACATTAAAAAAAGGGGTGGGGGAGGGAAAGGATTTATGATTTTATTCCTATTTGTTACAGAAGCCATAGGAAAATAACGTCTGAATAGTCCTGTCCATGGTAAGGACAGGCATGTTAGGCAAGAACATGATAATGAATATGCTAGAAACACCTCTTTCCAAAAAATGGTGCTGAAAGAAGACTGTCCAAGAGCACAGGGCCAGATTTTCAAAGCTATTTCGATGCCTAAATAGCTTTGAAAATTTGGCCCTTAGTGACTTTTTGGATCTCCTACTATCAGCTGTGCTCTATCTTGGCGGGTCATAGTTTGTATGAAATTTAAGGCCTTATCCTGCAATCTGTTTTCAGAATTCTCCAAGGCTTGATGGGGAGTCTTCCACAGTCATTCTATGGATTTGGCAGGTTTTGCTGCAATCAACAGTCAGCAGGGCCGGCTCCAGGCACCAAACAACCAAGCTGGTGCTTGGGGCGGCACCTGGAGGGGGGCGGTGCGGCGCTCCGGCCGCCGGGGAGAGCAGGGCCACAGCCGGGCTCGCCGCCCTCCCCCTGGCGCTCTGGCTGCCCTCCCCCC